TTTTTTTTTTGAGACAGAGTTTCACTCTTGTTGCCCAGGCTGGAGTGTAATGACACATCTCAGCTCACTGCAACCTCTGTCTCCCAGGTTGAAGCAATTCTCCTAACTCGACTGAGATTATAGGCATGCGCCACCACGCCCAGCTAATGTTTTGTATTTTTAGTAGAGACGGGGTTTCACCATGTTGGCCAGGCTGGTTTTGAACTACTGACCTTAGGTGATCCACCTGCCTTGACCTCCCAAAGTGTTGGGATTACAGGCTGAGTCACCGCGATTGGCCGAGACTATTTTTACAATAAAAAATTTAAACACAATACTCCATAAATTTGATTAGAAGAAAAAAAAATTTTTTTAGAGACAGGGTGTTACTCTGTCATCCAAGCTGGAGTGTAGAAGCAAGATCAAGCTCACTGTAACCTTGAACTCCTGGCCTCAAGTGATCTTCCCACCTCAGCCTCCCAAACCGCTGGGATTACAGGCATGAGCTACCATGCACAGACTTCACAAATTTGATTTTTAAAAATTCCTATTTCCATAGATACAAGACAAATTCCTTAAAATTCCATGAATCCAATTTTAAAATAATACATTATGCCCTTTATGTTTAGCAAATAATTTTTTCCAGTATTTCACTACTCATATACAAAGAAAAAGTAAGTTGCCATACATATATGTATGCAGACTATAAAAAGAAGGAATCATATTCATTAAGGAGAGATGAAATAAATCCAATATGGGCACAACATGCCTCTTCACCAAACACCAAAGAAAACCAAATGGATACTAAAACTCCTGTCTGTAATTTCCAGATGCCAAAGATTAATCCGCAAATCATCTGCAGATAAATATGTTTCATAATCACTATTAATAGAAATTGAGTTGATGTGATATGTATGAGCATTGGCAAATATTCTTCGTGGACTGGCCTCAACCATTAGATCCATAGGCCTGAAGACTGGCACCTGTCAATAAGACACATGAAAAAAAGAAGTTACAAAAGGTTCAGTTTCAAATAGCAATTAAGATTCACAAAACTTCATTATTTTAGTTTCTGAGAACATAAAATAGAACAATATTACATAGATTTAGTTTTAAAAAGGAACTGATGTTGATCCTTTCAAAATGCTGAAGAAAAATGAACAATGTGGATAATATATCTTCTTTTACTGGTAGCAATACTATTACAATTTGCAGTTCTTAGTTCCAATATTTTGCTTGAAAGACATGCCAAGTTAAAAATGTTTATGGTTCAAATTAAAGAGGCTAAAAAAAAATTAACCCATAACATCTAACTTTGGGTATTTTTTAGCTACAACTAGAAGATTTGATCTATATCTACTTTTTATTTCCAAAGAAAATTTATCTTGAAACTTGACCTTGTAGTAGCTAACATGACAAACCAGAGATGAAGTCTGATGGCATGAAACACTGTCTTGTGTTTGAGTCCTGCTTCTGTCCCTGACCAAAGTGAGACCTCTATGTCAGTCAGTTTCTATGTTTAAATGAGTTACTCAATATTCTACCTGATTACAGAATTATTGGGAAAGGGGAGACAGACTATAATTACTCCTATTCAAGCTCTGCTCAGGATTTGGGCTATATAATATGAATACAAACACTATCTGTGACATTTTATTCTTATGTACTTACTCGTAGTGTAGTAACTGTAGTAGGATCTCTATACCTTCCATCTTCCTCTTTCAGGTTATACCCTTCTGGTCTTTTGTCCCTTTCACTGATTTTCCATAATTTTATTGTTTTATCTGGGAAGAAAATAAAGCAAGTCCTTAAAATAAAAGGGTAGTACTGAAGAAGAAAAACATTTTAAGGCATTTAAAATATGCTATTTCACATTTCATCTAAAAGGATTCCATGGAAAAAAAAAAACAAAAACCCTCAGCTGACTTACTAAAAAATTTTCTATTAACAGCTGAATACCACACACACATAAAGTACAAAGATCACAAATTTATACATTAGTGGCACTCATATAAATTCCATGTGATAGTCAAATCAAGTCACAGGTCTCTATCCCTATCCCTTAAAAGTAATTAAAGCTAGAGGGAAAAACTTGATATGCATGTGTGGTGTATGCAAACACATGTATGTCTGTACATACATGTACACATACACTCCATATACGCTCAGTATTGAATTTCGTATCAGAGTTCAGAAGTAGGAAACAGGGCCTGAAGGAAACTGATTAAAAGCATATATCCCCAAGTCCTTCAAGAAGAAACCAAATTCCTAGGTATCAAGGATATATAAAATGGCATCTGTTTAAAAACAAACTTTTGTTTTACAATTAAGTTTAGATTTACAGAAAAGTTACAAGAATTGTAGTGTTCCATATATCCTTTACCCAGTTTCTTCTGTCAACATCTTATGCAACCGTGGTACGTGTGTCAAAACTAAGACATCAACTTTGTATATTACTATTAACTCAACTACAGACTTCATTTGGAGATTTAACCAGGTTTTCCACTAACATTCCTTTTCTGTTCCAGAATTGAAACAACACTGCATTTAGTCATCAAGTTTCCTCAGTCTCTCTGCCTTTACGTTTCTCAGGCTCTCCTTGTTTTTCTTGATCTTGACAGTTTTGAGTATTGGCGATGAGGTACTTTCTAGAAAGCATATCCCTCAACTGGATTTGCCTGCTGTTTCCTCATGATCAGATTGAGACCATGGGTTTTCAGGAGAAGAACACAGAGGTGAAGTGACTTCTCACAGCACTGTTCAAGGGGATACAGCGGTATCAACATGACTTACAGCTGGTGGTGTTAACTTGGGTCATTTGGTTAAGACAATGTTTGCCAGGCTTCTCCACTATACAATGACTCTTTCACCCTTGCCATATTCTATTCTTTAGAAGTAAGTCACTAAATCCATCCTGTACTTAAAGGGAGAAGTAAGTTATACTCCCTGTAGGGAAGAGTATGTATCCACGTCTTATTTAGAATTCTCCTGCAGGAAGCATCCCTTCTCTCCATTTATCCATTCAATTGTTTATTTGTATCACTATAAGCTCATGCACGTTGCTTTAAAACTGTTATAATTGTAAAATAACATTCTTATAGAAAAGTATCATATTCCTAATGATCTTTCATAAGCAAAATGGTATAACAAAATTGTTTAAAACAGTATATAAAGCCATTTTATAAAAACAGTTAAAAACAACTCAGAGAGATGCCAGTGACTCTAGCCTGGTAGTCTCTGTATCGTAGAGAAGAATGATAGTTGCCCCTAAGGATGCCCTTCCCAATGTTGAAATGTAAACAGAGAAAAGCTGCTAACTTTAATAATCTGTAATCTACTATTTCTTCTAAGCCCTATGTGATCTTGCTTATAATTTTCTTGTACTTCAGTCATACATGTTCTATGTGTTAGTTTATATATGTATACAATTTATAGATAGATATGAGCCTAACCTAAATCTGTATTTTGAGAAGTATTTGTTCTAAATACTTGCAAAGTATTTGTGATGAGGATGACAACACCCCCACCCCCTCGTCCAGTTGTCTTGTGGCCTGTTTAAATCCATCCTCCTTATTAAAGATCCAAATAAAGAAACCACAATGTACTTATGAAACTTTCAGATGAGATGAAATTGGTTTGTGGTACCTAATATTGCTTACAGGAAGAAAGCTCTTTAAAAAATATTTTTTCCATTAACACAAACACAGGACACATAACGAATTAGGATACATTTTTCAGTACGGGGGGACAAAGCAGGCAGGAAATAAATTAGTATGTTAACAAATATGATATAAATTTTAAATCAGAATCCTAAGGCTGGGCGCGGTGTCTCACGCCTGTATTTCCAGCACTTTGGGAGGCCGAGGCGGGCGGATTACGAGGTCAGGAGATCAAGACCATCCTGGCTAACACGGTGAAACCGTCTCTACTAAAAATACAAAAAATTAGCCGGACGTGGTGGTGGGCGCCTGTAGTCCCAGCTACTCGGGAGACTGAGGCAGGGGAATGGCGTGAACCCAGGAGGCGGAGCTTGCAGTGAGCCGAGATTGCGCCACTGCACTCCAGCCTGGGCAACAGAGCAAGACTCCGTCTCAAAAAAAAAAAAAAATCTGAATCCTTATGTTCTATAGCAGTGATGTTTTACTGGCTTGTAAGACAAGGTATGTGAGAATAATCAAACTCCATAAAACTGTATGTAAGATTATGTAAAAACACAGTTTTCAGTGGAGGGGTTATTAGATTCTCAAGATCTGTTCCTTCCAAAACGACCACTCTGTGGTGTTCCCCTGAATTATCAACAATAATAACTAAAGGCATTGAAGAAGCTGCAGAAGAGAGTTCCTCTCACCACAAGCAGAGGGCATGAGCTGGGAAAACCACGCTGCCGTTTCCTTTGTGGGAATGCAGCTTTATGTGAGACCCTAAAAACTTCTTATCAAGCAGTTAAGACACATCTTATTTATGAGTGTACTTTATATTGCCAATGCAAAGATTTTTATAAGATTAATTTTGGTTAATCAAACCTGGCAAGTTTGGTAGTCGTAGTTTTTATATAGACCCCATTACACTGGTGGAGGGGGAGGTGCGGGACGCGGAGCGGAGGGTGGTGGTGGTACTATGCTCACAGAAAAAACTCACAGAGAAAAATACACAAAATATAAAAGATATCACTCAGAATCAACAGATGTTGACATTTTTCTCTAAATTTCCTTCTAGTTTTTCAAATATAGTTAAAGTCCTACTCCTCCCATCCTTTTCCCATCATACCCAGACACAACAGTTCCTACGACTGTCATAATCTGCTCTATCCTTCCACATTGGACCCTATTATTAAGCTCTATTTTTAGCATTAAAAAATGCAGCCCCCAGTTAGTTGTATTTTACTTAGTGTTAAGAAACAAAAGACAAAAATCTACAATGCATTCTCTAATGTCTTTAAATAAGATTTAATCCACACAAGTTGAAATGGGATTTGCTTCCAAATAACACTGAGGAGAAGAGGAAGGAGGATTTGAGACACAAATTGACCGTGAACTGAGGAGCGTCGGAAGTGGATGATGAGCATGCAGGGCTTCACTATACTATTCTCTTGACCTCAGCCTACATTTAAAAAGTCCTCTTTATAAAAAAGCTGACATAGCCCTGTAAGAAATAAACTGCCATGAAACATTCCAATATATAAAATGTTAACAACACACTTCCCTAGGAACATTTATTCTATAAGTAGAAATTATATAAATGGTTTAGTTATGTATCATCTGATGTCAAAGAACAAAATATTTGAAGCTATTTGAAGTAACTTAGTTTACCATATAAATTAAAACTGACCCCAGACTAGAAGCTAGCACATGATAGGAGTAAACTGTTCCCCCCACCCATGCTGCTGTGAGTTACAGGCTTTAAATAGTTACTTCTGTTTATTGTTCTTCTAATAAGGACAAGAGAGGGGAATGCAGATTATTGTGGAAAGAGAGAAGGCAGAGGGTACGAATCCCAGTGGACTGGCTGGGGAGAGCTTTCATGATCAGAAAACTGGGCATCCAAGAGGCGGCCAACACTGATGGCATCAGACATTTGTGAACAGCATTTTTAAGAACTCATACTGTGGACCAAGGGCATCAATTAGATGGAGGAAGTGCTGAATTTCTTCCCCTATTTCATCCCCAAAGTCATTTAAGTTTATATTCTGCAAATGGTTATGGTCTAGGTGTTAAAATTTGCTTTTTAAATTAATAGTGAGGGAATGAGAAAATAGGAGGTGGTTTCCCCTCACCCTAGCACCAACCTCAAAAAAGTTTTAATCACAAATTTTTATAGACTACAGCTACCAAGAAACTAAAGTATCTCCTCAGTCACTCTAATGATTCCCTTTAGACTCAAGACTCCAACGAAGTCCAAACAATTCACGGGAAAAGTTTTTTATAAGAACAAAGAAAAAGAACCCAACTTATCATAAAGGATTTCAAATTCTGGTAGAGTCATTACTAACTTTTAATCCTCACTTAACTTTTCTTGGGCCAGGCATGGTGGCTCACACCTGTAATCCCAGTACTTTGGGAGACTGAGGAGGGGGACAGACTGCTTGAGCCCAGGAGTTCAAGACCAGCCTGGGCAACATCGGGAGACCCAATCTCTACAAAAAATGTTTTAAAAAAATTAGCCTGGTGTGGTGGCATGCACCTGTGGGTCCCAGCTACTCAGGAGACTGAGGTGGGGAGATCGAGGTTGCAGTGAGCTGTGATTACACCACTGCACTCCAGCCTAGGCGACAGACATTGTCTCAAAAAACAACAAAAACCTCTCCCTGGGCAAGTAAAACAGTAGGAGAGGAATCTCCTTCCAGCCATGTGGATTGCTGGGAAGAAGGCAATATGCTAATAGGTAGTCAAGTAAGAAGAGTGCTCTGAATGGAGACCGTCCTTTGAGTATTATTTTGTATCTGCAGTTAGAAATACTCTGTGTAGAGTTCAGGAACACTTAAAAAGGAGGAATAAATTAACATTTATTGAGCACTTGCACTCATGACATATGTGAAGAGTTACTTAATATTCATAATACTATAATAAAAAATTACTATCTCTACTTCGCTGCTGAGGAAAATTCAATTCAGTGTTAGTAACCTGCCCAAGATTAGGAGACTGAGAAATAGCAGAAATAGTACCTGACCTAAATCCAATGGTATAGCAGCCCATTCTTTTCGCTACAAATTGGGGGTGTAGTAAACAAAAAATTGCTATCTGAGAATCTTTCAGAGAATCTAAAAACTGCAAGTGAACAGTAAAAAAGTAGAGTTTATATTCTGTATAGAAAAAAAGTCCTTTTTAAAATTATCTCTGTTAAATGATTCCTCTCCTAGTCTACAGGATTATGTGCAACAAGTACACACAGTGGGCACATGGAAAGAAAATACATATACTTACCATTGGTAGACAATAAAAACTGAGCAGCATTTTTCTGGGGTAACCACCTAATTTTGTTGATCTTTTCTTCTATTTCTAAACTTTTCAAGTAGTCAAACTCTGGTTCATGGCTCTGGAAGGTGCTGTAAACATTATATTCTCCTCTGCTATGAGACTGGATTTTGTTCTAAAATGAAAACAAAAATATATGGACCATTGTTGAAAAATATTTCAAAATAATCAAATATGTAATCAATTCCAAAGGACCCTGCAAATTCTCGATAGCCCATTAGCTGTGTCTTTATACAATTATATTCTATTATTTTTTATATTTCTAAAGGCCTTCAAGGATTAAATGAGAAAACTTAAAGGGGAAAAAAGGCTAAATAACACTGAATAAATAAGCTTGATTCATTAGGGAAATAATGATGTTAAATATGGATCAATCTGATTGCTTTGATGGTATAGAGGCATACCGATGAAAAAAACTGAGCACCCATAATAAGGGAGTTCATCTAAAGAGTAATGACTAAAGAAAGGCTTGCCCAGAAAGAGCTAGATGAGGCACACCTTCTTTCTCTGCCCACTTTAGGGTCAACTCCCCAATCTGTTACTTAATATGATGTACTGTCTCCTTTTCCTTTCTGATGCCTGCCTTTTGGTTATTTCGCTGCTGAAAGCTTAAAAAAAGGGCTCTTATAAATGAAGGGATCCCATTTGACCCCTGCCTCCCACCCCAAGACTGCTGTTCCAGACAGCTTTGTCACCAATCAAGTCCATATTCAGCACCACCCAGCAATAGCCCCATGCACCCCATCAACTACTACTTACTCGCCTTTAATTTGCTTTCTCATCTTATGAACCTGGCACACACTGATGATTAATTTCATTTAGTATTACTTTGAAAGAACATAATTTAAGCTATCTCGTAAAGGGACTACTTATGAACTACTTGGGTTAGCATTAATATCTCAGCAAAAGTGAGAATTATTCAGAATTTCATCTTTTATCACACGATTAAAAACATTTTCATAAAAAAATTTAAAACTAGTTCAGAGAACCACCTATGGAAAAAGTTTAAATAAAAGAATGGGATTATTATTGTCAACTATTTTAAGTAAAAGTGAGTGAGTTATCCAGTGAAATGTTTACGACTTCTTAGCCTATTACTATTCTCCATATCAAAAGGAAACTTCACCGAATCATCTTGAAAGTCTACGTTTTGGGTTGTTTTTTCCAGCAGCCTGACGATCTGGGTTGTTCATTCATGGATGGTTGTATTTAAACTTTTGGACAGCAGTATCAGTTATTAGAGGGCAAGTCTGCCAGTGTTAAGAACGCAGTGTCCCACAAAACGATCCACATATTGGGGACACACAAGGGGTAAAAATCAGACTCAGAGCCTTGGTCTCATCACCATACCCACACACCAAATTAGACAGCCTATTCCATTAACATATATAAATACTCCAGTGTCACTTGAAAGCTCCACATATCTTCTACCTAAAATGACTCACCCAGTCTCACAAAGTTTATCACTACACTCTACAAGGAAAACACAATACCATTAAGCAGGCAACTCGATTTTTAATATAAACCCTGCGTTTTAGACTCGTTTTTCATCTAACACTTAAAGAGACTATAGTATCTAGCACCTTGTACACTAGGGCGTAGAGGGATAGACAGAATCCCCACATTCAAGTGACCTGTGTACGTCAAACTTCAGTCAAAGTAGAAACTGGTTACGGTCTACACAATTAAGGTAAGCAGTATGAAGGGCCAAGGGCGAGCCACACATTGTATTTGATGAGTTAAGAAAAGCACAAAACTACAGAAATATTTTCTGAAACAGAACATGAACATCTTCCTGTAGACTCATGGACAACAACATGAGTCTACTAAACATGATCTCTTACAGAATCCAAAAACAAAATCATAGAGATATATGGCAGTTTCAATAGACTGCAAGAAGTTCCATCTCTTTGCAACAGGAAATAAATATATGTATCATAAAAGGAGAAAATTCTGTCTAAAAAGCTCAAGATGCCAGGCTAAGCACATGCACTAGCCTCCCCTCTCCTCTGAAACTTTACTAAAATTATCATAACAGAACTTTTAAAAACAAGTCCACAGGACAAAGAGTAATGGCAGAAATGATAGCAGCAGTAACAAAACAGAAGAGGCTATAAAACATGGGTACAAGTGGTAACTGACAGTAGACTGCAGAGAGCTGCAACAGATTTTCCCTAACACTTTGGGAGGGGATGTTTAGATTATAATGACCATGATAGCATTGTTCCCCGCACGAACAAAGGACAGTGAGCAAGCCTGAAATAAAAGAAACATAACCATATACTCAATACTGAGCCACTCAAATGAGAATGCATCAAAATCAAACAATGTTTTTGTTTTAAAAACCTCTCCTACAGTCATACAGAATTGTGACACATCCTTCAACAATTTATACTGGCTTTACCTGCACAGCATTTTCACCTCCCTCTCTTTTCTTGCTTGCCTTTATGATCACTATGAGAATCATCTTCCTAACCATACAATCTATTTGCATGAAAGTTTCTACGGTAAGTTTAGATGTGCTTTATTCCCCAGCACCTATAACAGTACCTGGCACATGTAACAGGCATTGAATAAAGATTTTCAAAGCAGGACTTAGAATGAGGTATGTCACATACTTTACATACATTACAAACACAGGACACAAAACCAGTATCACACATTTTCAACACAGATGCAAAGAGAATTCACTAAAGGGCATCATAACCAAGTTTTAAAGCAAAGTCATAAAGACTGTGTACTGGCATGAGGATAGACCAATGTGCCAATGAAACATAACAGATGGCTCAGAAACAGGCCTAAATGATGACAAAGGTTGCCTTGCTGGGCAATGGGGAAAGGATGGTCTTTTCACTAAATGGTGTTGACTAGTGAATAGGCTGACTATTCATAGGAAATAAAATGAAGCTCGACCCCTTCCCTAAACCACTCATGTAAAGTGATTACAGATGAATGAGAGATATAAATGTGAAGGTACAATAATCAAGTCCTAGGATAAAACAACCCAAGAGAACTTTTCTGCAATGATAGAAATCGTCTGCATCTGTGTTGTCCTGTATGGTTTTGCCACTAGTCAAGTTGAGCACTAGGCACACACTGAGCACTGAAAATGTGGCTACTGCAACTAAGGAAGTTAATTCTACAATTTATTTTTAACAATTTAAATGTATTTATTTATTTATAAGGTGGTAAGGCTGACTTTATTTAAAGAGGGCCATGGAGACAGGGACCACTGCAACAGGGTCTTGCAGCGGGGGAGAGAGAACAGACTCCACTCCCCATTAATTTAAATAGCCACATGGATCTAGTGGCTACAGCACGAATCATCCAGTTCTAAAAGGTAATGGGAATAATTTCCCGGACCTTGGGGTTGAAAAGTAATTCTTATACAGGACAGAAAAACCAGTAACCCTAAGAAAAACACTGATCAACTGTATTATATTAGTAATCTCTATTTATAAAAATATACTATTCAAAAAAATGAGAAGGCAAGTCACAGAATGAAAAATACTTCTAAAAAAATGCGGGTGTGTTTTTTTTAAAAAAATGGGGTCTTGCTCTATTGCCCAGCCTGGTCTCGACTTCCTGGGCTCAAGTGATCCGCCCAACTCAGCCTCCAAAAGTGCTAGGATTACAGTGAGCCACTGCCCCTGGCTCCTCCAACAAATGTAACTGAAAAAGAGTTCATCTGCAAAAAGTGTGAAGAAAGTCTACAAATCAGTAAGAAAAATGACACACAACACAGTAGAAAATTATAAGAGATTTTGACAGTCACTTCCAAAAGACAATATCCAAATAGCCAATACAAAAAGCAACTCTGGCCAGGAGTGCCTGTAACCCAACACTTTGGGAGGCCAAGACAGAGGATTGCTTGAGGCCAGGAGTTCAAGATCAGCAACACAGTGAGACCATCTCTACCAAAAAAAGAGAAAAAAAAAATTAGTCAAAGTGTGGCAGTGCATGCTTGTAGTCTCAGCTACTGGGGAGGCTCAAGTGGGAAGGACCACTTGAGTCCAGTAGTTTGAGGCTGCCGTGAGCTGTAAGCGTACCACTGCACACTCCAACCTGGGCAACACGGAAACACCCTGTCTCAAAACAACACAACAACAACTCAATCTCAATATGAATCACGAAAGTAAGCATAAGGCCGGATGTGGTGTCTCACACCTGTGATCCCAGCACTTTGGGAGGCCGAAGCGGGCAGATCACCTGAGGTGAGGAGTTCGAGACCAGCCTGGCTAACATAGTGAAACTCTGTCTCTACTAAAAATACAAAAATTTAGCTGGGCATGGTGATGCATGCCTGTAATCCCAGCTACTAGGGAGGCTGAGTCAGGAGAATCGCTTGATGGCAGGAGGAGGTTGCAGTGAGCAAAGATTGCACCAACTGCATTCCAGCCTGGGTGACAAAGTAAAAAGACTTCGTCTCAAAAAAAGAAACAGTAAATACAAACTCAATTCACACCCACATAGTGTTAAATTTTAAAAGACCGATAATACAACACAAAGCACCGGCAAAGATGTGGAACAGCCATAAAATTTATATACTGTTCACAAGAATAAAATTAGCAGAACTTTTTACTGTGATGTCTGCTAACAGTGAATGCCTATCCTATGGCACAATAATTCTACTCATGACTGTACAGCAAAAAACATGAGTAAGAATGTTCACAGCAGCATTATTCATAATGGATAAACTGTGGATTCCATTTATTCAAAGTTCTAAAACTACAGGCCAAAATAATTGTAAGAAGACAGGCTCATAAAGGAGAGGAAGGGAAAAGAGAAGGGTTTGTGGAAGCGTGGGAAGTTCTATTTCTTGACCTAAATAAATGTGTGCTATGTAATAATCTGCTAGTGTTTTATGTACTATTCAGTGTATATTTAAATAAAGATTTAAAACTATATACCACACATATGTTGCAGCCCCTACGGAAAACAATGTGGAGATTGCTCAAAAAAGCTAAAAATAGAACTACCATATAATTCAGCAATCCCACTTCCAGATTTTATCCCAAAGAACTGAAAAATGGGATCTCAGAGAGGTGTCTGTACAGCCACGCCCATTACAGCTTTATTCTCAAGAGCCAAAAGGTGGAAGTAACCCAATCAATG